AATTGGATCAGTGTACAAGACTATACCTCGAGTATACTATACGTGGTTGAGCAAAACTCTCTTTATATATGTATGCCAATGAAAACATACCACATGATCATATTGACAAAACGAATAAACAAAGCATTAAACAATAGCAAAATAATTATATCTAAACACACTTAATTAATATGATTACACATCCGTTGTTGTGAGAAAACTGACAATATTGTCTATTGTTAAGACTATATCAAATTGCCCTGAAGTAACATAATGAAAATTCACGTATGGGAAATAAATTCGTTTGGGCATCAGGACTGGAAAAAATAATTCCCTTCTTGGCACACTCTGGATACACTGGTTAAAATTCCTGGTTAATAATATTTTCAGTATATAATATTTTTACAGTCAGTGATAAAGATTATTTGCACACCGCGCAGAAAACACGAACAGGCAAACGACAGTTAATCATTGGTGTGCAGCGAAAATTCAGTCTAACGTATGAATTTTGAAACTAAAGTTATTGAAGTTGTTGTCAATGTTATGGCTGTTTTAAAATTAGGGCTGCTTCAACCTATAAGCCATTTAAATCAGACATCAGTTGTGTTAAACGAATATAACTGGAACGCCACCTTCAGGTAAACGGTCTATCTTTTTCTTGAAACCAAATACGACCTACTAATATTTAGTTGGGTATATATAAGAATCTACAACCTAGCTATTGCACTTTTCTTCGGGCACTTCTTGTCAGCATGCATAAGAATGTTTTATAGAAATACAGGGGAGAAAGAGTCCACCTCAAAAGGAGGGAATACACTTCCGGAAAGTACGTGATCTTAAGCCTGGTTCACATATGCCTGCGGTATGCCTGCGACTGTATCATTATGCCTCTACTTGCCGCCGAAATACCGGCAAAGTTGAACTCAAGTCAACTTTCCCGGCCTACCGCCGATGTAACTGTGGCACTGGAGGCAATCGGCGAACAAATATCCACATAATTTACGTTTTAAGCTACCACCGACATCGTCGCCGGTACGTCGCAGGCATATATGTGAACCAGGCTTTAGCTATTGAACCTCGTTTTCACGATTAAGCTTTAACTGATCAGTGTCACATACACGCAAACGAGGCTGTACAACCAAAGTGACATACTTTCCGAAGGGTGTGTCATGCATAAAACGTTAGCAGTACATAATTTTCAGGTTTTACATTATTCTTTTGCAACTTTCCCGTAGTTATTTCAATTCATGCATTAGTCTGCACAAAAGGTCTTCGGCTCACCGCACTTATGACATGATGGCCATTTTTTCCAATCGTGCAAATAGAAACGCTGTGCAACGATGAAAATTTATTTTCGGATAAGTCTATTTTGAATGTCTCAGAAACGTAAACCGGATAAAATAAAATTAAACAGTCGTTTGCCCCGGATTTTCGTTATTCGCGATAATGATAAAATAATGTAGCTAGTTTGCAAGACATACAGCTAGCTACATGCCGCGCAATTTACTGAAAGTCATCACAACAATTTTTTATCACATAACGCGCTATATAATTTCTTTAATCCATTTTATCTTATCAAAATCTGGCCTAATAATAAAACGTACAGCTTTTAAAATATTTAATACTTATACTCGAAATAAAATGTCGTCGGGGAAACTTGAACGGAAACTCTAGTTTTAGACGTTTTTTGATCTTTAACCTGCCAGTCATGAAGTTCACACGTTAAATCATAACGAAGCAATTAATTGTTGTTCAGAAGCCTATTTTATCCCGCCCACTTTCCACAGAAAGTCGTCAGTTAATTGAAATGACATGAAAATTCCGTCCTATCGGCCCGGTCCATCCTAATCTGAGTATCAAGCTATACTTATTATCGTTAGTAAAATAATTCCTGACACATATGATCGCTCTTCACCCTATAAGTATAGTTTGTATTGTACTATTGAGCATCCAATCAGGATGTCCTATAAGGGAATGTGAATTTACATAAAAAGAACAATCGAATATTATAGTTAGGCTAAATAAATGATGAACAACAGATGATAATCTATAATTAGCAAAAAAACAATCAAAAAGACAAATTAACATCTGTTTGTCTGATAGACAAATCAGGCAAAGAGCCGGATCAGTTGGCTTTTTACAAGCAAGCATGCAAGAATAGATTTGTGTCAGGCCCCATCAAGGAAGGGAAAATGGCCTGATGGCTAGTCGTGGATATTTCATTGCATGGTTTGGTACTGCATGGTTTGGTTTTCATTAAATTCAGTTACTCAAAATGGGAATACGCAAAGCCAAAGCAAACACGCCGAGCCCTTAATTAATCCTGTATTGTCTATTGTTATCGCGGATGTTACCTGAGTCTGTCAGATTTTAACAACAAAACATAATGTTTATCATCCTAGTGTCAGTTTATTATCACAGGTGATTTATAACAAGCATATATACTGCCAATATAGTAAAACAGTTTTGTTTTACAAGGTACTGTAAAACAATACTTTTATTATTTTACAACACTTTACAATTAAAATTAAATTCGCTTTCAGGGCTCGCGAAGCATAACTTTACAATGATAACTTATTAGATATAATAACACATTTCACGAACCCATCTCTGGCACAAGAAAGATTTTTAATTAAGGGAAGCCTCACATATCGATTTTGTCCGTGAGAAACGTCATATGTTCGTTTCTCTGGAGACCCCCAGAAACGTCACACATAGTTATCGGTATTTTGTTCTTATATAGTACACTATTGGCGATGCTTCTGCGAGGAATATGTCATCTTCTGCTAACATATCTTTTTTTATTAATATATAATTTGAACTTCAAAATTTCCAACGTTTCTCAAAACAACTTCTTTTTGCAAGAAATACGGATAATTTTAGCGTGTTTTTCTTGAAATTTGAGTGTTTTCAATGCAAGGAAGGCGTAATAATATAAATGTATACGTATGGACTGGTGTTTGTATCAAGTTGTTTTCTTTTTTATATGCGGCAAAGATGATTCCGAAATGTTAAGGCTTTCGAAAAAACTATCGAAGTTTTCCATGATGTTTACAGAGAAACGTCACAGCTGCAAATCACTCCCAAACGAACATATGACGTTTCTCGTGAAAAAAATCAATATGTGAGGCTTCCCTAATGTGTATGAAAAGACGGCTAACATGAAACGATGAGATGTGATACTTCTTGGCCTCGATGGGAACAACTTCAAAATCGCCCACGCAGATATTTATATATTTGTTACTAATTACCGCAACTATGCGGTGCTCAGCTTGGTCCTTTGCGTGGGCAATAGTTATACAGATTGTCTATGACCAATTTTTAATTACCTTCTAGTTTACGCTTTAATTGATATATTTTGCACTCTTCAATTTTTGCACCCTTGAGAATTTAGTGCACTGTAACGAATTCCATACCAACACGTATTTGGATTAAAGTTGAAGGGTTTGAATAAGGGGTTATAGATTAGGAGTGACAGGAGTTAGGTGGGTCAGGACTAGGGGTCGGATTGCGGTTTACTTTGGTGTTTACTGGACTTGCATTTAAAACTAATGAGAACATTCTTTTTCTGATAATTTTTCTTTAATTTATATTTGTGCAAAAGTATAACTTTGGGGGTCCAATACTATTGTTGGGTTCGAAGATTAAGAACATGCCATAGATCAAGGTTCTCCTGAAATCCACCAAAACCTTTACATAATCATATTTTATACTTAATATGATACCATGCATATAATTATAGTTAAGGATAAATCCCATGTTACTATGTAAAACTGCTTTAATATCACCCCACCTTCCGCATTCTACATCTTGAAAAAAGCATTAATAATTCATAAATACTAATTCGATAATGACACTAGCCCTTGTTGCAAAACATGCAAAGTGAAATTAGTATTTTATTACTTGATCAAATTTGGTATCCGAGTTACAAAGTGCTGGCAGTATTGCAAGTAGATCAAACAAATGAAAAATAATAGTATAACAACATACCTGAATTCAGTCTTGCAAGTTGCAATAAATCCAAGAGTCTTCCTGAGAGTATAGCAGCAGAAGTTCCGCACTTTATGCTGTATGCGCACGTTGTGTTCGGTGTATTTCTTGGCTTGACTTATAAAGACGTGTTTCACGCGAAGGCAAAGCAATTAAACAGTAATAAGGACAAAACAATCAATTCCAGGACCGCTGGGAGTTAATCACACCGCAAGAGACCTTGTGTCTTGGGAAAGTCGCAAAATATGCTATACAAGCGTGATGCTTGCATATGAATGCAATTAATAAACAACACAAAGCGTGGGCAAGAGTGGGGTTAATGAGGTTTCACTGGAATTTTTTTCAAAATCCTTTCTGTGGAAATAGTATTGAAGCTTATTGATTTTCGTTGAAATAGTATGGAAGTCCAATTTTCATATACTAATTGCAATTTCCATATATACTATGGATATCTTTTGGAAATAGTATGGATATACTCAGTGCTTCCGCTTACAAGGATTTTTCCTTGCAGCAAGGAAATATTGGTCCTTCCCGGCAAGGAATTTACAAGGAAATAAAATTTACAAGGAAATGGCAAGGAAAAATACAAAAATTAAAGGAAATTGCAAGGATTTCTGTAACTTATACCAGTTACAAGTCTTCAACCAGTAAAAATCAACTTATAAATAGTATAGGTCTAGACCATGTAGACCATGTTATTCTCATAGAAAAGCTTAAATGGTAAGGCGTATCGGGAAATCTCTTAACTGGTTTACTGACTATCTTAGCGATAGATCGCAGAGAGTTGTGATAGAGGGCGTAGCTTCTCGGTATACCTACCCATTACTTCTGGTGTTCCCCAGGGAAGCATTGTAGGACCTCTGCTGTTTGTTATTTTTATCAATGACCTACCTGATATTATCCAGGAACAGACAAGAACCGGCCTCTTCGCAGATGACACCAAGTTGTACCGATCAGTAAAATCCCCTAGCGACTGTGAAAGTTTGCAGCATGATATTTCGAACTTGAACAATTGGAGTCATAACTCTAACATGAAATTTAACGCCTCCAAGTGTAAGGTATTAACAATAACTCGAAAAAAATCACCTGCAATTACTGACTATCGTCTGGGAAATGTAATTTTACAACGCGCTCACCAAGAAAAAGATCTGGGAATTATTGTCAAAAGCAACTTATCCTGGGATTCTCACATTTTCTCAATCGTCAGTAAAGCCAACAAGATGCTTGGTATCCTAAAGAGAACTTGTCCCCTGATTAGAGATACGTACTAAAGTTAGGCGAACCCTATACCTGACTTTGGTAAAATCAGAGTTGTGCTACGCAACGGAGGTGTGGTCCCCAGCTAATGTGAAGCTACAACAGGGCCATAGCTAAGCATGCATAGGGGGTGTAGGCCAAATTTCCGAATGAGAAAAGAAATTTCCGAATATTTCATGGCATACGAAGCCACGAAGGTGTTTGCTATCCGGAAAATGAAAACACAACTTACAAACAAAAATACTCATATTTTACGCACAGACATATTACAGAAGCGTGCAGTTCTGTAGGAAGATTTTTTTTATAAGGGGGTGGCGAGGGCCGAAGGCCGAGGAAATTTTTAAATTTAGGGTCTCTGAAATGCCATTTCGTGGACTTTGGGGGAAGTTTTGACAGAATTCTGATGGTCAGAAAACAGAGTTTTAGCACGTCGAAATTTACAATTAATTTGCGAACAATTTAGAAGAACTAAATGGGCGAACAATTTAGAAGAACTAAATGGGCGAAGGCGTATATGGGTAATATGATTCTTTGCGGTTTGTCATGGGTAATGTAGCCGCTTAAAATTAATCAATTATCAGTATTTTAAAGATATATTGAGGGCTGCCCCCCCCCCCCCCCCCCGTTGCTACGGTCCTGGGAAGTAATAAACCGAAAAACATTTACCGAGTCTACGATTTGTTAAATGATATCCATGTACATGCCGTGATTTTGTAAACCAGTTTATGATACTGACAATACAATATATTTTATAATATTTTCTCTGTTTAAATTAAACAACTAAAATTTTGTTATACTATTACTGCCGTAATTTTCCGAATGACCAACGCGATTTTCCGAATATGTCAATTCTAAAAAAGTTGGGGGGGTTAACCCCCCCCCCAATACCCCCCTTCGCTACGGCCCTGGTTTCATTCGAGATCATATTACGTTTTTCTTCGTCTATTACAGTTTTAAGCGGACCATTGCTCGACGTATACGGTATTTACTCCCATGTTCACGTCGCCATATTCACTTCTTCCAATCGCTCAATTACAAAACAAATCATCCCCAAATAAATAATTCATGATCGATTTTTAAAAGAATAACCGTTAATTTGTAAATCGTCGAATAGAAAGCAAAAAATCATCAGCTAAACAGCTTCTTGCTAACTTTCTGCTTTTTTTTTTAAATGAAAATACAATGGAGCTTTGTTTCTGCCCGCGATTTTTTGATCAGCGACGACAAATTTCCCACATGTTGTCGCAATCAGTTCCGTCACTTCCATGTTCCAGATTAAGAAAGCTCATTACACACGATTCGTACGAGACGTGCGAATCTCTGAATATGTAAAATGGTTATATTTGAGTCAATTCATTTAAAACATGCCCCAGTTTAATTAAGGAATAAATTAAAGTTCATGTCTCTTGGTATGAGAGAAAGTATACGGTGTGATCCTACCAGTTCCAAGGTCAAATTGTCAGTGGCGCAGCTGGCATAATTTGACAGGTCCTGCTCTAAAACTCACACATACTATGGGGGTCCGGGGGCATGCTCACCTGGAAAATTTTTAATTTTAGAAGTCTGGAATGACCATTTCCTGCAATTTTACGGCGAAATACTCCAAAGGGAACATCAAAAAATTGTGTGATTTAATGGAAAATTTTTGATAATTTTTGAAAAATTTTATCATATTTCACTATATATTTTTCAACTTAAAAATTTAGCTAAATATAGTCAAGTCATGTAAGAGGAAAATATCATGTTTTCAATACACGTCTGTAATATGATCTTTCATTTGGTCAACGTGCAATTGCGTAACTCAACAATTGTTGTAGTGCTTGTTGAATTTAGCATTCTTTAAAAAAATACTAATATGTTAATAAACTATATTTAACGGAGTGGTATCAACTACGAGTCTATGAACCACTACGCTTGGCACTCTGATTGTATAATTCAGTACGCTATGCTTATGGTATTTAATAATAAAATTGCCGTAGCGTTAACTTAAAGTAAATATAGTGTAAAATGCGGCCAAATATCTACATAAATAACATTATAAACTTTATAAATCTAAATTGGTAGCTATATCATTTTTAAACTCCATATAAGTGTTTGTGTTTCATGCAATGCATAAAGCAGATGAACT